TTAGCAAAATCATCGTCTAGCGAAAAGCATTTCCCCATTGGAATGCATTGAAACCTGTTTAATGCGTTCCAATGGGGAAGAATCGCCGTTGTCTAGCAAAGATCGGCCATAGGAAAGCTGCTTTGTGAACTGCCGATCAGCTGTTTAAATCGCTGTCTTGCGAAGCTTAGGTCCCGAAAACACCTGTTTTGCGAGCATGGAGGGAGCTGTCAAAAACATTGTCTAGTGAAAATCGGTTTGCGAACCAGGGACCAAATATTGTCCAGCGAAATTCCCCCACAGGAATCACGGTTTTGCGAATGACTATAGCGATTGCAAAAACTCATTGTCTAGCGAAAAAACTGTCATGCGGGGTAACTGTATAGTGAGGCACCACTGTATTCTTAATATGACATTGCACCAGCTGTGCGCCCTGTTCTTGTTTTTATTAAGTGCTGTCAAGTCACCCCCGACTTATGGAGACCTTATGAATGACAGTTATGTAAAATGACCTCTCTTCAACAGCCCTTTTCTGCTCTTGGAAACTCAATCCTGTGGCTTCTTTAGGGAGTCAGTCCATCTGGTGTTTGGTCTCCCTCTTTCCCTGCTGCCTTCCGCTTTTCCCAGCATTAGTGTCTTTTCCAGAGAATCCTGCTTTCTCATGGTGTGCCCAAAGTAGAACAGCCTCAGTTTTGACATTTTTGCTTCCAGAGGTTGTTCAGGCTTGATTTGCTCCACTGGTCCATCTTTCTGGCACTCCAAGATTCGTCTATCTGGCCCTCCAGAGGCGGCTCCCAGAGGAGGCAGGGCAAGGAAGCCAGGATGCTGTCTCCAAAGGGACACCTGCCCGAGTGGGCAGGGCACCGACTGCCAGGCACCTGCTGCAGTAGAAAACAAACTAGCAGGATGGTGGAATTCTGGGAGTTGTAGTCAAAAGAGATCAAGTTTCCAAGCTCTGGTGCCTGGACACAAAGGGACAAGTGAGTGGACTCCCCTCCACTCCCCTGCCCCCAAAAGTGAAGCAGTTGGAGATGGAAAAAATAAGTGGAGCACTTTGTCAACACCTGGAGGACAATCCTTGCTTTGCACAGCTGTGGCCACCCTCGGCAGGGGCTGGTTGTCTTCTGCTCCTCCAAGACATTTCAGGAATGATGCTAAGCTGCTTTAGCCATTGTTGATTTAACCTCAGCCTGGTTTAAATAATGCATAAGCTGCGTCTAATGGCCCTGATTTGTTTGGATAACCCTGATAGGCAGTGGGCAACTTTCCCTTTCTGCCTTTCCTCCAGGCGACAGTTTGGCTCCAGCCTGGCTGGTAATTCAACATTTTTCACAATAGTGCAGTAACGCTTGCTGTTCTATATGGCTGAATCTCTCTCTTTCCCCCCTCTCTTTCTCTGCCTGTTTTATTTATTTATTTATTGAATAGCCTGCCTGTATTGCAAGATCTTGGGGAGGGGGAAGGGGGGGAATCACACAGCTGTATAAAATGATTTTAAATATTTTGTGCAGATCCTTAAAATATGGATATAAAATATGGCTTTGGGAAAAAGTAATTAGAGATATGATTAGAAATGAACAGTGCTTGGTTTAGTTTTGTAACGTTTCTAATTTCCTGTGCAAGGTGGGGAGCAGTGTGTCTACACTAGACAGTTATACTGGTTCGATACCTGTTACCCCTTTAACAGGATGTCATCACCATCCTCAGAAATTTAGTTTTTTTGTTTGATGAAGCACTTGGAACCCTCTGCTGCAGCTTTAGAGATCTCCAATAGCAGATCTGACATCTTTCACCAAACTAGAATCCCTGGAATTCCATACGATGGAGGCAAGGTAGATAAAGTGGTATCAAACTGCAGTAACATCTTTGTTTTTCTATACAAATCTGAAAGTGTAGGAGTGCATGCCAAGTGAAAGATACCGGAAGTGGAATAAATAAGATCATGGCTTATACTGAGTCCATTGAGATGGGTTTTAAACATATGTATATATTTTATCTCAGCTGCCTCCCTCTGGACAAGATCTAAACAAGACCATGTCTCTCTTGCTGTTCCTTTGTTTCTACCACATGGCGCATTTTGTCACTACGTGTCCAAGGGAAGCTGTTTGAGCTAGTGGGCTGCCATGCAGCTTTCCTCTGCATGGCACTCGCCCCCTGGATCTTTAGCAATGCAGATCCCATGATCCCCAGTTGGAATGGCTAACGAGGACTGTGGAAGTTGTAGTTGAATAAACATGGAGATATCAGGTTGGGGCATGGACAGTGTGTTGGAACATGTCTTCACCAGACAGCTGATTTTGGAAGCTAAGCAGGTTGGAGCCTGGTCAGGAGATGTGTGCATGAGGAATATAAACCATCTCCAGGAGCAGCGAGGAAATAATCCTGCCTGAAATCTTGGATAGCTACTGCCAGTCAGAGGTGACAGAGCTCAGTTTAATGAATCAACAGTGTGATTCAGGATATGGCAATTTCTTATATTACCATGTTCCCAAATCTGGGTTTAAATCACTGCCAAGCAGTGGCCTTGGGCTGGACTGTCTGTATCAGCCCAAACTGTTATCAGTAGTGCCCTTGTAAAAATTTAGAGACTGGATCACACTGAATCAGGAAAAAAAATGCATTGAGCCCAGTGTGTTTTAGTTGGGTTTCTCCTTCAGTCCTGCTGTTTGAAGAGGCATTTCTAGAGACACTGGATGTTCAGCTTGTTGTTCAGTCCAGGCTCTGACACATAGGATGTGGCATCTTTGATCCAGGAGTGTCCAGGCTAATGTGAAGAAAAGCCTGACACCAGGTCCCATGTCAGGAAGCTCTTGCTGTTAAAGATGTTCATCCCAATGCTGTGCCTCAATCAGTTTTCCTGCAGTTCATTCCAGTGCTGGCTGGTGACTCCAGTTTTGTTCTACTCCCGGGTTTAGATGGATTCTTTGTCAGCCGCTCAGAGTGGTATAAATATGTCCAGTTTTGTTCTACTCCAGGGTTTAGATGGATACTTAGCGGTGCTGGGCTGTTTTGGAGGTGTGCTTCAGCACCTTGGAGAGTTCCTACAAATAAATAAATAAATTAGAGGTGCCGGACTGTTTTGGAAGGTGTGCTTCAGCACCTTGGAGAGTTCCTGGGAAAGGGCCAAGCCAACATGTGGGGCAGGTATACTGCCCCTGCAGGGATGGAAGGACAGATGACCACCTCTGATGGATCAGCAGAGAAGTAGTTTGTCTCATCATGTGTATGGTCATCCTTTAGATATTTGAAGGCCACTATGTCATGTTCCAGCTACCTGGATAGCTCAGTGGTTTAGGTACGTATCTGGCTTGGGGAACCGCTGGGAGTTCAATTCCCCACTGTGCATCCTGGGAGAAAAGAGCCAGCTTGTGTAGTCAGGGGCAAGCTGTGCAGTCCCAGGTACCCCCCAGAAGAACGGAATGGTAAATCACTTCTGAGTATTCTCTACCTGGAAACCCCTGGAAAGAGTCACCATAAGTTGGAGTTGACTTGAAGACACACAATTATTGTTACTATTATTGCTACTGTTGTTTGTTTGTTTGTTTGTTTATTTGATGATGATGTTCTACTTTCATCTCTTCTCTCAGTTAAACATAGTCACTTCTTCCAACTATTCTCATACAGTTTGGTTTCCAGATCTCTCATCATCATGGTTGTCCTTCTCTGGATACTGTCCATCTTATCAATGTCCTCCATAGACAGCTCCTGATCCAGAACTAGGTGAAAAAAAGGGATGGCTTCTATATGTGAAGTCCTCTCAGTTTTTGCCATTCTTGCTGATGACGGGAATCATGATAACAGTTTCTTATTTTATAGACGAGGAACTCAACATGAGAAAATGAGGTTGCCAGAGTTGCCTTAAGAGAATCTGCATTTCTGAACTGTATTTGAAACAAGAGCTTGTAGATTCATATGTCTTCTCTATTGAATTAGCTTGAGATGAGGTTTGAAGCTTTTCTTGAATTAGAAGCCCCGGAGGCATAGCTGTATTCAGAGACAGGGAACGTATTTTAGGATGTGTTTTTGGATACTACAATTCCTAAAATCCACAACCAGCAATGACCACTAGCAATGGTGGTTCATGAGTTCTGGAAGTTCTAGTCCAAGCATTTCCCATCTGTGGCTATTCTATAAAGCTAAATTGGATCAAATAATAATCCTCTCTTCCCACTTTAGAGGAATTAAATTTCTCCACACCCCACTAACCTAAAATTTCTGTAATACTGGCAGTTAGAATGGTGGAAAGCGGATGGTTAATTTTTTTTCTAAGGGTTCTGCTCATTTAGCAAGGTACTACAGTGGTGCCTTGCTAGACAGTTACCCCACATGACAGTTTTTTCGCTAGACATTGACTTTTTGCGATCGCTATAGCGATTCGCAAAACAGTGATTCCCATGGGGGAATTTTGCTGGACAATGTTTGGTCCCTGCTTCACAAACCAATTTTCACTAGACAACGCTTTTGACAGCGCCCTCCGCGCTTGGAAAACGGGTGTTTTCGGGACCTAAGCTTCGCAAGACAGCAATTTAAACAGCTGGTTAGCGGTTCGCAAAGCGGGTTTCCTATGGCCGATCTTTGCTAGACAGCGACAATTCTTCCCCATTGGAACGCATTAAACAGGTTTCAATGCATTCCAATGGGGAAATGCTTTTCGCTAGACAATGATTTTGCTAAACACAATTTCAGTGGAACGGATTATCATTGTCTAGCGAGGTACCACTGTATTTTAACTGCTCATTAATCTGGCTGCATAGCTCAGTAACCTACCTGGTTCTAGAGCCAGAAGTTGGAGGTTTGATTCCCCATGGTGTCAGAGCCTGTGTGGCCTTGGGCAACCTGGACATTCCCAGGGTGCCCCCAGAAGATGGTAAACAACTACTGAGTCTTTTCTACCTGAAAAACCCTGGAAAGGGTTGCCATAACTAAGAACTGCTTTGCCGGCACGTTATTGTTATTTTAACTGCATATTGATTGTTTATGCGCTGATAATCATGAGAATCGTTCATGCCTTCCACAGGTCGATGTTCACCATGCTGGGTCTACCTACTCTTCTCTTACTCCTGGGGGCTGTCAATGGTGCTATACCTTCCCGTGCTCACTGGAAGCCAACTTGGCCGACCTACAAGGTCCCGGTCATCGTGCCACAGTTGACTATAAATTTAGACAAGCCACAGTTTGATGCAGAAGCCAAGCTAGAAGTGGTGTCGCCTTGTGGCCCATCCTGCCACAAGCGTTCTCCCCTGCCCACCTACGAGGAGGTGAAGGACTATTTGTCCTATGAGACTCTGTACTCCAATGGTTCACGCACAGAGACGGAAGTTGGCATTTACATCATTACCGGCAGCAACAGCGGGTCCCAAAGCCGGTCTCGGACCAAGAGACAGATCTACGGATACGACACAAGGTTTAACATTTTTGGCAAGGACTTCCTGCTGAACTATCCGTTCTCCACTTCCGTGAAGTTGTCCACAGGCTGCACCGGAACATTAGTGGCCGAGAAGCACGTCCTGACAGCCGCTCACTGCATTCATGATGGCAAAAGTTATGTCAAGGGAGCCAAGAAACTAAGGGTGGGGTTCCTGAGGCCCAAACTGAAAGATGGTAGCAAAGGGGCAAACGTCAGCAGCTCCCCAGAGCCGGAGAGAATGAAATTCCAATGGATCCGTGTCAAACGGACCCATGTCCCCAAAGGATGGCTCAAAGGGAATGCCAACGACATTGGCATGGATTATGACTATGCCCTATTGGAGCTGAAGAAGCCTCACAAGCGAAAGTTCATGAAAATAGGAGTCAGCCCATCCGCCAGGCAATTACCTGGCGGAAGGATCCATTTCTCCGGCTATGACAACGACCGGCCGGGGAACCTGGTTTACCGTTTCTGCGATGTCAGAGACGAGACCTACGATCTCTTATATCAGCAATGCGATGCCCAGCCGGGGGCCAGCGGTTCCGGAGTTTATGTCAGGATGTGGAAGAGGCAGCACCACAAATGGGAACGTAAAATTATTGGGATTTTTTCCGGACACCAGTGGGTGGACACCAATGGGTCCCCCCAGGACTTCAACGTGGCCGTCCGCATCACCCCCCTCAAATACGCACAGATCTGTTACTGGATCACAGGCAATTATCAGGAATGTAGAGAAGGCTAAAGTCCATGAACATTCCAGCACCGTCATGGCTGGTTATTTGTGGGGGGGGCAAGGCGGCAGGGGTGGGGGGAGCGGAAGGAGACCCAGACTCTTCTATATTGCCAATCTGTGTGCATTTCTCTTTTAAAAATACTTGGATGCAGGAATTAACAGGGATGTCTGCAGTATTTATGAAGGTAATTTGTGTTAACTAATAAATACAGCTAGAGATGTGTATTTGGCAAAGAGAGGTGGACAAGCCCTAGATACAGAAGAGTTCTGGATCTGGGAGAACCATGTCTTTCCTCCACCACTCGACAAGCTTCTCAGTTCTTTGTCATGACTGTAGCCTTCTTCCTTTTGCATATTTTCTGTCTTACAACATTTCTGCATTGACACAAAATCTACAGGATTGAAACTGCCTTAAATGCCTTTATTAACCTTTTGCCACTTTCCTGGGGTGGACGGTGCTACTTGACCAGCCCTCTGACATGATGCACAATGTTGGTAGAGTCTTCACCGTGGCAAGTGTGGCCATATGACATTCCTCAATGCCGCATCCAGAGTTTTTACAAGAGTATTCATTCCTACATTCCCATTCCGAGCAACGAAACTCACAGGCGGGATGGGCAGAGCTTGGAAAAGCTGTTTCTTGGGCTACCTTTCTCAGAATTCTGTAGTCAACATGGAATTCTGGAAGCTCTAATTCAGAAATGTAGCTTTTCCAATTTTGGACCTGTTATGTGTAGCAGTGGGCTTTTTTGTGTGTGGTGCTCTTTGGAGCATGAATGTAAGAGAAGAAAATCCTTCAACTGATGCTCTAAGATAGGGGGGGTAACAGTAAACATACCACTTTCTGAATGTATTTAATAATGTGAGCTATATCATAAGAAGGCTTCTATTCTAAAATATGTTCCATTTTAGCAACAGTGTGAGCTGTTTCAAGCGGCTCTTATATTTAGAGGTGGACATGTGCCAAAATATGTGCAAAAAGTGTAATTAACTCCTGAATTTAGTTTCTTAAGGATCTCAGGTTAATATCAAATTGATCAAGTACACTACACAAAAAAAGTACTCATTTTGTTCATACGCACAACCTTTTCCTCAGAAAACTGAAACCTCTTCTGCTTTACACCCACAACTGTTTTGTTTTTCAGATTATAGTTTAGATTGCCTTTTTGTCAATCACAAATCTACTCCCTCCCCTTAAATTTGGAGCTGTGCTGAGCACTGATTGGTCAGTCCTGGGGCTCATTTTGTAGAGCTAGCCAGAGACAGCACCGGCCCCTCTCAATCCCAAACGCACCTGACCGAGCCTCAAAACAGCTTTCTAGGGTAAAAATAGTCTGTATAATTTACACCTTTATTGTACAGTGCAGTTGTTGAGGAGGGAAGTCTGTCTAATGGGGGAATGGACCTGAGCCGTCAGCAGGAAATGATGTGTGGCTCCCATTTCCAGATAGGGTGGAGTGCAAGCTTTAAGAGAAAGTGCCACAAGTACAATTGCATAAAATATGTGGCTTGTGGCTCCTGATATCTCAGAAATGGGTGGAATTGCTAGAGGAGATTTCAGTGATCAAAGACCAAGGTTTTCCAGCCCCCCTCTTATAGCTTCTTGTCCTTTCCTACAGTGGGGAGAATAAATATTGCAAATAAAGAAAGAGGACTAATCTTTCTGTAATTTGTACAGTTTGTAAAGTCTGATTGCTTTTTGTTTTTGGATGAAAAATTCTGAATCCTATTTAGCCCTTGTCGCCTTGAGTATGCTTTCTACATTTAGATGGGGGTTGCAGAATGGAAGAAGACATCAAGAAGGAACACAAAACCTGCACAACTGAAGTTCTAAGAGCAAACCTTTGCTTTCTTCATTTCTTCCCTCCACCATTTATTGATAAAGATGTTGCCGTGTCTTAGTGGTAGAGCATCTGCTTGGCCGTCTAAATATTCCAGGCTGAGATCTTTGTAAAAGATCTCCGTGAGCTGGTCTTTCAAACACATTCTGAGGAAGAGAATGTGCTACTGGGGGCAGAGCTTGGACTTGTTAATCAGGGGAGGTGAGAACAGATTCCAGACTCCCAGCCACCATGATCCATGACCAATCTGCAGGTTATGGTCAACAAACAAAGAAACAAAAAAAAACCCGGGCCAAATCATCTTACTTAGGTACACTGACATAGCGCAGTGTAACTTTGGTGGTGAATTGCTCCATGTTAAGAAATCACTAGACACATTACAGTTGCATTTATTACTCAGTGCGCAACTGATCATGTCTACGGGTTGTTTTTTTTTAACTTGAGACAATTCACCTCCAGAAGTTACATCATTTGTGCAGCTATGCAAGAGGATTTTGGCCTCTGACTTGAGGGGCCAGTAATTCGAGTTAGAGGTACTAACAAAAGATAGTGTGGTGGGAATATCTGTGGAGGAGATGAAAGAATGAGACAGGAACTCTACTCCAGCCACATTGAGATTGAGATTATGTGTCCAGTGTTGGTTCAGATGAAAATAAATGTTCCTTGTACCTAGTGGCGTTGTCAGTGTTGCACTGGAGCCAAAGCTGATGGGACCAAAATCCTGTAACTTTTTGATGAAGAGAAATCTAGTCCCTCTGGCCTTAGTTGCCTAGACCTCACTTTAGGCTGCAGAGAGTACAGTGGTGCCTCGCTTGACAAGAGCCCCAATTAACAATGAAATCGCATAGTGATTTGGTTTTTGCGATCGCAAAAGCAATCGCATTGTGATGTTTGAAATGGAAAAAATTGCTTTGCAATGATCGGTAAGCTGTTTCGCTTACTGATTTTCGCATAGCGGTGTTTTCCCAACAGCTGATCGCGGTTCCAAAATGGCAGCCAGGTAAAAAACATGGCCGCCCGCTGTATGTTGGGACGAATTCCTCGCATACCGGGCAGCGAAAATGGCCGCCGTATGGAGGATTTTCGCTTAAAGGTAGGTTTTTTGCCCATAGGAACGCATTGAAGGTGTTTCAATGCATTTCTATGGGCTTTTAAAAATCACTTAGCGATGTTTTCGGTTAGTGGCGATTTTTGCTGCACTGATTAACATCGCTAAGCGAGGCACCACTGTATAGGAATTTTCTGGATTATTGTTGTGAGCCGTCTCTATTTTAATGCAATGTATTTTGAGGGCAGTTTGGTTCTGAATGGGCAATAAAAAACCCATTAAATGTGCAAAAGACCTGCTCCTGGTACAGACGAACACAGCAAGAACTGGTGAGTTTATATTGAGCAACCCAGCTGTCTGCAGTTTTGGTGCAGATGTAGTCATGATGAATGGCTGTGTTTCAGATTTATCACTATCCTTCTTGTAACAAAAAAAAGGCAACTGAGTCGCATTTCTTTTCTTTTTTAAAAAATTCACATAGAAGAGATACTGCAAAGTAACACATACCTAAAATGATTTTAGAAGTAGGTTAACTTGAGTGGAAATCTCCCAAATGTTTTCAGCTTTGAGTTGCAGAATTTTGAATTTTGGTTATGATTCTCTAGCACAAGTGCAGGGACTTACAGAGCAATGTTAGCTTCAAGGATCCCCAAGGTGCACCTGTCCTTTTTTATCTCCTCATCTAGCACATACAGTCTCAATAAATTACTCTGAGTCATTGGTAAGAATAAAGGGTTTTCTTTACTCACAGTTGGCTAGATGGGGAACAAAACAGCATTCTATAAATAAAAAAGACTGCTTAGAGCAGCATGCTTCAACAAACTCATAGCCTGTTTCCAGCGTACCCTGCAGACTATATTCTTAATGCACTAAATGTTAACAAAGTGGAAAATACAAGCAGAGAGGCAGAGCTCTCTTTGAAATCAGAGACAGGGAAAAACAATTGGTCACTGATGGACTGATTTTAGTGAAAGATTCTGCCCAGCCAAACCTACTAGAAGAAGCATGCGAGGTTGAAATAACTCCAATAATGGGTAGGTATATTTGACTTATTATGCTTGTTATTTTCTCCGGTGTCATCCTAACCTTCCATCTTCTCGTCCCTAAGTTTTCCATCCTTTCCAGACACTCAGAGAACAGATAAAAGTGTTAAAGAGAAAACCTGCAGGCTCTTCCTTAAAATCAAGGATAGGAGTTAAGAGATGCCACCGAGGAAGATAACCCTCATCCACCAATTTCACTCCTTTACCTTTTCTTTTCATGACCTAGGAGAGCCATAGATATTGGACCTGTGTCTTGCAATGTGTAAGATCAGACTGGCAATATATATGTTTGCAGGAGAATGAGTGCTCATCAAGAAAAGCTTTGAAGCTGCTGGTTGCAGCATCTGTCAAAATCTTCAGTAGAGTACATTGTAGTTGATTGGACTACCCCAAAGGGGATATCTGGAGTGGATTCCGTATCTGGAACTAGCTCAGTCCAGTGCCTTGTACTGTTCATGATAAGAAGTTGTTTCCTAGAATACGTAGCATAGTGGCCTCCATGTATTGATGTAGCCATGCCAATGCTCTGTCACCAAAGAGCAATATTTGGAAAAGTTTTTTTTTTTTTGTAACAGTTCCCAATGAGAAGTTAGGAAAAGTTACTACAACCTCCCAAATTCTTGTATTACACTCAAAATAAGTTTTTCAGAGCTGCAATATATTTGTTACACCAGCTGTAGTTGTTGGTAACTGTGTTTTGCAAACATGTCAGTCCAGAGTCTCTGATTGTGCTCTTCCAACCAATCAGAAACCGTAGTTTGTCCAGTTAGACATGAGAACAAACCGTGGTTAAGCTTCCTTAATCATGATATAATGGTAGAATATTTGACTTGAACTAAATTCACAGAAGGCACGCATACTCTTCTGATAAAGCTGTTTTCTTTCCCACCTCCATTGCATTCCAGCTGTTAATACCAGTCACAAAAACCTCTCTGTCTTCTTACAGCTTGGCAGGGTATGAAAAATAAAATCCCCACCTGCTCTTCTGAATGTGCCAGAGTCCTCGGAGGAGAAGGGAAGAGCCTTTTCTTTGCACTCATTTCACATGGAAAGTGTGAGGCATTACAAGAGAACTCAATGCTGAAGCCTGAGTGTCTCAGTCACAAGAAAAGCCACTTCTGCATACTGCCTCCAGGTTGCAGAATGGAGCTTTTGATGTTGCTGAATTTGCATATTCTATGCAGGTTGCAGAATTAAGTGTTTGAGGTTGCAGATCATGGGTGTGAATATCTCCTGGAAGGTTCAAAGGGGAATTTGTGAGCTAAAACATTCTTTTCAAAAATATTTTTTTAATTGGGACACAAATAAGGGTGGAGGGTGGGGTTCTACTGGGCCGCATTTGGGCCAGCTAATGAGTCTGCATGAACCCTGCACCCTTTCCTGAATGGTAAGCCAGCACTTAGGCAAATCCGATTGATTCAACGAGTCTATTCTAGCTGGGACTCCCAATTAGTCCCAAATCTTGCACTCAGCATGGACACTGGGAAAGTTTGGGAAATATACCCCACCAAGTAATTTTTTAAAGCCCTGCATTTCCACTCCCTCCACCCTACTGCCCAGGTTGTTGATACAACCTCTCTCTCCCTGCCTCCACCCACTTTTGGTAGTTTTTATGTTGCGTGTTTGGAAGCCAGAAGTACTCCCTGCTTCTATTCAAATAGCTTTCAGGTATAGTTTTCAGACATACAGTGGTACTTCGACTTACGAACTTAATCTGTATTGCAACGGCGTTCGTACATCGAAACGTTTGTACGTTGAGGCAAAATTTCCCATAGGAATGCATTGAAAACCATTTAATCCGTTCTGGCTGTTTTTCATTCGTATGTCGAGGTGCTGTTCGCAAGTAGAGGCATTAGTTTCCATAGGAACTAATGCAAAGCTGGTTAATCCGTTCTCTACCAGTAGGGGGAGAATTTTTTAAAAATTTTTCTCCTTTTAAAAAAAGGGTAGGAAAGTTTTTTTTTTCTTTCATAAGTCAAAGCAAAATTTTGCGAACGGAGACGTTCGGAACTCGAAATGTTCGTAAGTAGAGACGTTCGTAAGTCGAGGTTCCACTGTAATAGGAAACACACAAACCCAAACACACACACAGGAAAATTTCTTCTGGTGCATTGTGCCATATAGAACCACTAATACAGTAATTTCATAAGGAAATACAAGAAAAACTCCATGTATTTGACACACACGGAGAGAGAGAAAGGGAGATGACATGCGCCACCATTATTTGTAGTTATCTGTCTTACCTTTTCCCAGGCATACAGTACCTAGTTTTGAATGTATGGCATCAAATTCAGGGCGTTCATGAAATTTCAGATGCAGAGGATGTTGTATATATTCATATGTGTTTCACAGAATTGAAAGCATTCGTTGTAATTCTACTTATTTTGTATTTGGATGTTCAAATACAGTGCTGTTTCATCAATTTCTGCATCAATTCCTCTTTGTCCATGTTTGGTCCTTTTCTGTTTTCTGTTTTTATAGAAAGACGCATGCTGTTTTGCAAATGTACTGCTCTTTTGCCTCATTCTAGCAGTGAGATGTGCAAGCAGCATCTTTTATAAAGAAATCTGATCCATAGGAAAGCATGTGTAAAAATAATACCTTTAGAAACCAATACACATTTTCCATCTGAGAAGAAATAATGTCTTGCAGCCTAGTATAGAAATATACAGGATGAGAAAGTGGGCAAGGTTGTGTCAAACAGAACAAGAATAAAACTGGCAGATGTTCACATTCTCACTGCATCTGTCTCAACACCTTTCCCCAACTTTCTGAGCTAAGCCTTGTCTGGGCCATGAAATTTAATCTAGGGGTTCAACAGCAAAATGTTCTAATCCACATTTAACGTCAGCCCAACTTGTCAGATTTCAAAATCTGCTTCTGCCAAACACAGGTTGCATCTCTACCAACATAGCAGAATAGGTAGGGGTGGGTTTGGCCTATCCCACAATCCCAGGGAGCTGTGGGCCAATTTAATTTAATTTAATTTAATTAAGTCCCATTATAAGTGCATAGGAAAAGCTAACAAGCTGTGATCTATCTAGATCTCTGTGTGCAGGGATATTTTTAATCTATGGAAAATTATTTCTATACCTATCTATCTATCTATCTATCTATCTATCTATCTATCTATCTATCTATCTATCTATCTATCTATCTATCTATCTATCTATCTGTCTGTCTGTCTGTCTGT